CTCTCTGTCTCTTCCGCCTTTCCAGTCTCCCTCTGCTCCATGTGGCTTTCCCCTACTTCCCTTCTGCTCTGATCGTTTTCAAAGACTGAGACTCCATAAGAAAGGGCTTCAAGTCACTTTCCGGTCTTCTTCCCGGATTCGTTTTGTAAGGTTCGGACGCCGGATCTCCCTGGCCGTGGGCTCTTCCGCGCTTTTGGGCGGCACCGGCTTCTATGCACTTTCCAGGCCCCCCCCCCCCCGGCAGAGGCGCTATCGCCACGGCAGCGCGCCGCAGAGCAACGCAGAGAGGGGCAGAGCCAATGTCAGCGCTTGTGCTTTGGTCTTGATGTGTCGTCAGATGCTTTCACGTTTTTGCGGAGAGTGAAAGAAGGGCTTGTGAACAGATCGAGATCGTGTCAGGAGTAGATTTTCCTCTGTGGATCCACAAGTATCTGCCAGATGCGAAACACACAGAGAGTGATCGCTCTTGCCGCGCCTGACTGCAGCAAGGCAGAAACGCTCAGCGCTCAAAGCACTTCAAGCCCATGCTCTGAACCGCCACACCTAAGCTCGAAACCCGATACCCGAAACTGAGCCGTGAACCGGAAGACTTAAACCCTGAACCCGAGCGACTTAACCGCAAATCCACCGCCTTGTAGGCAGCTGGGCTTCCGACGGCGGGGTCTGTGGACATCGCTCGGTGCCACGTTGCCGGGATGCCTGGCGTCGGGAAACGGACACCATATGGGATTGAGTGAGCATGTGCCCTTTTGCAAGGTCACAGATGCACCGCAGAATGGTCGTAGACCCGTAGAGCTTCAGGTTTGAGCTGAGCATAGTCAACCACCTGCGAATCAATCGAACACCTAGTCAGAGGACACCCCCGCTTCGAGAGGTGCTTTTCGAATGATTGCATTCATCTACCTGTGGGTTCCTTCTCATGAAATCTAAGCAAGTCTGTGATTAAGGTACATGTATGCAAGTAATGACAGTGGCCGAAGGCCTAGACACCTGGTAGTGGAGACGAGTTGATGCAGGTGTTTCTTGCCTGAGACTAACGGAAAACTGGGCGTGTGTTCTGCAGACAATGCAGCGTAGGCGATGGGTCCTTTGCTTCCGTGTTGACTTACATAGCTTATATGGAGATGCCGTGAGTGCAGAACTGCAGATCTGTGTCGGGGAAACGGGTGCACCCGAACTGTGCCACAGTGAACCGAAGGTGTCCGTGTCTCGCCTGGTACGCCGTGGTCTCCACTGCCAGTGGGCCTAGTCCTGTTTGGTGTGCTGTGGGGTTGTCGCTAGGCCGCTAGGCTGTTTCGTTGTTACGGTCATTGCTATGGGTCTACTGTGAGGAAGGGCCACGGACATTGAAAGAGAGCCAGGACATGAGGGATTTCTCGAGGCACAGGCGAGGGAATAATGCAACGCCTACAGCTGCTGCCTGAACCCTGAACGCGAATCCGAAGAGAGGGATGCACCCGTGCCGAGGAGCGTGCCAGAGTGATGGATCTAGGTCGGAAGCTGCAGGCCATGCCTGGAGCGTAGGTTCGCTTGTTCGCAAGGCAGGTCATAGAAGGCAGCGAGCCACAACGACTAGATCATGGGATATCTTGGGCACGTGCTAATGCTGCTTTGAGTCTTTGCCGCGGGGTTGTGCTGTGGACTGTGTTAAGGCTGTTGGGTAGACAGGAGACCCTTTGCACTACCGTTTCGCGGGGGCGGGGTGGGGAACTCGGGTAGGAAGCACGAGGCCGACGGTGGGGTTTAGGGTTTAGGGGAAGTGTCCCTGTTGCAGCTGGATGTCTCCAGCGACTTCCAGCCAGGAGCCCCAGAATGCCTTGGAGTCTGAAACGATCTAGAAAACGGCGCACCACCGAAATCCACCGAAAAGGCCTCCAGCCATGTCGCAGAACTCTGGCGACGAGGCCCGGAACGAGGGGGGGGGGGGATGCCCGCTACCATAACAAGGAAACCATATTATTTACTATGCGCGCTGAGGCTCTGGCGAAGCTGTTTCCACCACCACCTTCGGCCGCAGCTGGCCACGGCATCCTCCCGCAGGAGAGCTACCCATTGGATGCTTCAAAGGGTTTAGGGGTTTAGGGTTTAGGGTCTCCATCATGAAGCCTCTGCTAGACTCACTACAGAGTCAGTGTGCCTCTGTTTCAGTTGCCGAGCCGCCCCGGCCCCTTCCCGCCGCCTGTGCCTCAGTTGGGCATAGGCCCGTGCCGTAGCAGATCTCGGAGAGTTTGGTGAGTTTGGTGCCGAGGCCTGGCGGATTGCCTCCAGGCAGGGTCCCAGCCTTGCATCGTTTGGGATGCCTTGGGGAGCTCATATCAAGCTTTCAGGGCTGTAGGTTGCTGCGAGTGGTGACATCAAAGGCTACTCGCCCTGGCGACCTTGTCAGGAGCTCGATTCCCTGGAAGCTGACACCGGTCTGAACCTCTGAGGGCACGGAGTGCTCTGAAGGTCTGCACTGGCCGATGCCTGAGGCCACAGCCGAACGATCACATCGAGAAGGCAGAGACGTTCTCGGTGCCGTGTAAAACGCAGCAGTGCGTTTGTGAGCTACAGTTGAAAGTCATGTCCGATCAGGACAATGCCAAGGGCGATTAGGAGGCCACCTTTCCAGCTGTGTTCATGACACGTTGATGGGCTCAACTGTAGGTTGTAAAGTCGGCATCTTGAGAAAGACAATCTCCGGACTGCATGTAATAAACCAGATCATGCTAAATGACACGTGAAGATTAGCTAGATTCTATGTACACTGTTGTGGTACACATCGCGCCTGGTCCGTAATGTCGTGGAATATCTGGTCCTGATCTGCGAGACGCAGCGTGGCAATGCCCACCAAATCTGAAATTTCGCTGCACCTTACGGCAAGTCTCAGGTAGCTGAAGGAGGCACAGGGGACGAACGGTGCAGAAGACTTTCTTTACAACCTATATAAGGAGTACACCCAGCAGGAAGCTTTTACCAAAGACGAAAACCCTAAAGAGCAAACCCTGCAAGAACCTCTAGCCGAAGACTACAACCCTAAGGAGTATACCCGGCACGAAGCTTCTACGAAGCTTCTACAAAAGACGACAACCCCAAGGAGTAAACCCAGGAGGAACCTTTGGCCGCAGACGAAAGCCCTACGGAGCAAACCCAGCAGGAACCTCTGGCCGAAGACGAAAACCCTAAGGACTCAAGCCCGCATGAACCTTTGGCGCCAGCATGAGCCTTTGACCCAGCATGAACCTTTGAGAAGCACGAATCTTCTGCGAAAGACGAGAACCCTGAAAAGGAAACCCCGCACGCTCCGAAACAGAGCAAAAATGTCATAGTTAAGATTCGTGTGTTGCCACCCTCTGCAGAGGTTCGTGGTTTTTGAAGATGAAAGGAAGTTACAGCTAAGATGTTTTGTTGCAAAAGCTAAAAAGTTACGTCTAAGAAAAAGTTAGAATTAAGCGTTCTTCCTCCTCGCGGGGCTCTGCTTTGCTGTGCTCGGTAGTTCACGGAAAGCCGAAGCATATCCGGCGACGAGGTGCAGGGGGACGACCTTCATGGGGCAAGCCCCGGGACAGAGAGTTCCGACGTGCCTGCGCAGCTCCCCGAAAACATTCTGTGCTGTTTGTCCTTGGCGTCTCGGGTGAGCTGTGACTGTGACATGGGAGCACGTGCGACCGTGGACGTCGCAGGCATGACGCCACCGTTCTGTGGCCGTTTTCTGCTCAGCGGCCCTTTGCCGGCTCCGCGAGCCTATGCTGGCCACTCGGCAAAACTCAACGGGCCGTCCTACATGCTGTGTGCGGGTTCTGAACGTGCTCTGAGCTGTGAAAGGCAGGCGCGAAGACCGCGCCGTGCACGCCGCGCTGCCGAACTCCCGCAGGCGAGCAGGACACCTCCTTGGCGCAGGGCCGCTCACGCAGCGCCCGAAGCGCCAGTGCGCCCCCTCCTCAGACTCCTCAGAGGGCACCCTGCCGTGAGAGATCGAGAGCTCTTGGGGGCGATTGCCTGTGTGTGCCCGCTGTTTTTGGGCTGCAGGCCATGCTGCATTGACAGCGGCGGTCGCCCTCACCTGGAGGGCTCCAAAGCTGCGAGCGAAGAAGGTGCCGAGGTCGACCCCGAGCTTGGAGATGCTGGCGCTGAAAGCGGCGCAGGCTCGCAGCCAACGCTGCCTCCACCGTCGCAGCCCTCAAATCTGGAGAGCCATGCGACTTCGGCCTCGCCAGCTTCGCCGGCTCAAGGCTCCGTGGAGACGACGGTGCCTGCGGTGCAAGTGTGCATCCGCATGCGGCCGCTGCTGGCATGGGAGCGAGCTGAAGGCTACAAGGAAAGCGCCATGGAAGTGCGGGAAAGCCCCAGTGGGGGCATGGGCATCTGCCTGCAAACGGAGGGTCGGCGAAATCGGCAATTTCAGTTTAATGCCGTGATTGGCCCCGAGAGATCTCAGCAGGAGGCCTGGGATATGTCCAAAATCGACTCCGTTGTCTCCAAGGTTTGCAAGGGTTTCAATGCCACGGTCTTCGCCTACGGACAGACGGGCACCGGGAAGACCTTCACTATGGAGGGCTTCGACTACGACACGGGCCAGGCCGCCCCCTCGTTGAACGCCGCATCCTCGGCGCGGCCGAGGGTCAAGGCAGCGTGATCATATACGCCCTCGCTTTTACACTCCTACTGTAAGTGTTCCAAACATCAAAGCCCAAGCCATCCCAGGCCTAAAGCCCTCCGAAATTGTTGCTCCCGGTTTCAGCCTTGAGGCTCGTTCCACACCTTCGGAGCAGCTGGGCATGGTGCCCCGAGCGGTGCGAGCGCTCTTCGAGAAGTTACAGACTCGTCGGTCTGAGCCGCCCGACGGAATGAACGGAGCAAGCGGAGCTGACGGCTGTGGGGACGAAGCTCGTGGCGTCCCCGGTGTCGTTGTCCGGGTGTCTTTTCTGCAGATCTACAAGGAAAAGATCTTCGACTTGCTCAATCCAATCTCGAGCGTGTCCCAGCGTGAAGCCGCGCGCGCTGGCGAGGACTTGGCTGAATACCGTGGCCCTACCGCAAGCGTTGTGTGTCGTTACTCAACCACTCAGCTGTTTGCCGTTTATTAATGTCAACGTGTTGGTGTTGTTCAGTTGCAGGACTTGGGTGGGCTTCGTATGCGCTGGGATGCCATGAAGCGGCACTTCTTCGTGGAAAACCTGTTCCAGTACGAGTGCGGTTCAGCAGAGGAGGCTTTGCAGCACTACCAGGACGGTATCGCCAACAAGCAGGTGGCATCGACCACCATGAACGTGGCTTCTTCCAGATCGCACACCCTCCTGGTTTTCACTGTGCTCCGAAGGGAGGGACTGGAATCCGGCCAGGGTCGAGAAGTTGTTTCTCAGCTGTCTTTGGTGGATCTGGCTGGCTCTGAACGGACCCTGGCCAGCACGGATACGACCCAGAGTGGTGCTCGGTTTGTGGAGGCAGTCAATGTCAATCAATCGCTGTTTGTCTTGCGGCGCGTGATCACTGCTCTAAGCAAACGGGACAACCAGAACTCGACTGACCGCACACATGTACCTTACCGTGAGTCAAAGCTCACGTCTCTGCTCCAAAACAGCTTGGGTGGCAACAGCTACTTGATCATGTTTGCTTGCCTGGCAGCATCGGAGCGACATGACGATGAGAATCTGAGTACGTTGCAGTATGCATCTCAAGCTGCCTGCATCAGAAACGAGCCAGAGGTCAACATTGATCCCAAGGACCGGAAAATCCAAGAGTTGGAGGCCAAACTGTCTGTTGCTCACGGATACCTCCTCCAAGCTCTTTCTCTAACAGAACTGCCAAGCGACTTGTTGGAGAAGGAAAGAGCAGCCGCTGTTGGCGCCGCTGGTGCTGGCAAGTTTAGGCCTCCCAGAAAGGATCGACAGCCACAGCCTCCGCAGCCGAGGGAGAAGATGGAGAAGACGGCCCCTCTGCCCCCGCGCTCGCGCTTCGGCTCGAAGGAGAAGGTCGCATCCCCGACGACGACGGCCACAAGTTGGAGCAAGAGTGAAGAGGGGGAGCGAGGAGAGGGCACCGTGGCAAGAGAAGGCTTTCTGGGATCTCGCTTGGAACCTCGGAAGCATCCAAAAGCCCCCAAGCCGCCGCGCAATGGCCCGACGAGCTCCCTCGGCGACCGTCTCGGCCTCTCTGCCCGAAATCCACGTTCTTCCACCTTCTCACGGCTGGTTCAAGGCGCCAAGCCTTGTTTGGGGGGGACTGGGGATTCCGCTTAGAGTCGGTCGATCTGTCACCAGGGGAAAAGTCGCCGAGAAGCTCCGACTGGCCTTTCTTTGCCCGGAAGCCAAGGACTCCATGCTTAGCCTACTGTAGGTTCTTGCGACTTCCGGCTTGGAGAGCGAGAGATGGAGTCACGGCGCACCTGCGCGCCCCGTGGGGGGTCACCCCCACCCCAGCCCTGGGAGAGAGAGGAAGAGAAAGAGAGAGGAGAGAGACAGAGCGCGTTTCACTCTAACTCGCACCCCAAATGCCCAGCCAGCCAGCCAGTGAGTGAAACGCCCGGGGCCTCGGAGAACAAGAGAGTGAGTGAGAGATCTCGCAACTTGTTTGCTTGCAACATGGCGTTCGGGGGGACGTAATCCTCAACACCTTTCGTACTGCAAGGGGGGACCACGCAAAGTCACCCCGAGAAACTTCTCACGCCCTTCCACAAGCCGTGCGCCACAAGCCCCGTAAAACATCGGGGGGCCTTGGCGCCCGGGGGATTGAACAAGTCGACGGAAGAAGACTGCGGGGGCAAGTGCTACAACTTGCTGTACATGAATCTCTCTGGTACAACGAGCCGGTTGTATTGTTGGGCCTGTGAGAAGAAGAAGGCAAGCGCAGAGGAGACCGAGCAAGCATGAGCGAGCACCTAAGCGCACAAAGCCGCGTCAGCGAGTTTCTTGTCGGTCATTTGTTTTGGGCCTTCCAACCACGCATGCTCACTGTCAAGTTGGATATGCAGGATATGTTGGACAGGGGCGTCGCCCCCACGTCATGAGACTTCACTCTGACCTCCACGTGCTTGCAACCTGACGGAAGGCCCAAGGCAATGCTCGGACCGGCATTTGTCGCCAGATGAAAACTAACGCTCTCCAGTTCTCCAGACAAGATAGGGGTCACGTGCTTAGATCCCACCACCACTTTCTTAGAACAAGCACTTCCTCAAAGCAATACAACCCCAAATCAGGGATCACAACGTCCTGCCAAGAACACCTCACATGAGAATAGTGGGCAGCAAAACGGAAAAGAACGGCTATCCTATAGAAGCGGTTCGCCAAAACAACGCAACACGAAAACGGTCAGGAGTTGGGCACCACAACATGCAGGCTGCGAACTTGTCATGGGAAATCTGCCCCAAGACATTCCCCAAAACAATGCACCCACTGAATCAATCGGACAGGATATGCGGTTCAAAGCAACGCGACACTGGTCAAGGTTTTCGATGAGACACTCTGCAATGCAAAAAGCCACAGCTTTAGACTAGCAGGGCATTGTTTCCAGCCCAAGCAACGCAAGACGAGAGGGGTCACGGTCCCCACACCCGACACAGAAGAAACGGAAGAGCGAGAGACAGAGAAGCGACTCGGAGGACCGAGGGTTCGGAGCTTTTCGCGGCGGTGGAGGCACTTGCACTTGCAGTTCAAAACAGCAAGGCGCACCGGGCTGTAATTTGCGAGCCTAAGGATGTGCTCCGCAGCTACGACGGGGCTTCTGAGGGTGCGGAACCCCGAAACCCTTGGGCGGCATCGCTGCCTCCCATGGCGAGCCGGCGGAAGGAGAGTGCGGCCAATTCAGCTCGAAGGCCGGTGCGGACCGTGTTTGCAAGGGTGTCTCTCTGTGAGCGCTGAGGCCGTCGTCGTTGCCTCCTGTGGTCCCGGAGCTCGAGAACGAAATCGGAGGTGTGCCTGCAGTGCACCCCACAAGCTCAAAGTACGAGCGGGCAAGGTTGAAATCACCAGGTGACTCTGCGCCCTTGCCACCTTTGCCCTGCAAGCTGTGGCCAAGAAAGCCCGAGGCACCCCTCGTTGGAGCCTCAGCATCGAAGCTCACTTTGCGCCTTAGAGAGCTTTGCAAAGGGCCTCTGCCCTCTTAAGGAGATCATCTCGGATGCCTCTGCTGCATCTGCTTCCGGGCAGCCGGAGTCCTTAGAGCCAGAGGCAGCTCGCCGGGCCCGGCGCAAAGTGATCGCACTTGTGGAGAGAAAAGCGCCTTGCCGCAGGTTACAAGGAAGCAAATGGATGATGGTGGCTTGGCTCTACCGGTTCCCACGGACGAGGCACGTCTGCAGGGCGAGTTTCTCTGCCTCCCTTATCCCGTCCAGCTTTCTCTGCCTCCCTTGCCTTGCTGCTTTGTAGGATGCTCGCAGCTCGCATTCTGCCCATGTCCTGGGAAGGCCGACAACAGTGGAGCCAACGATGAGGCACAGGATGGCATCTTGGAGAACTCATGTGTTGCAAGTAGGTGCAACCCAACACAAGAACATGTGCAAGCTCATTTATGGCATGTCTCGAATGATTCGGCTACCCGTGCGTGGCGTTTTGTCTTTTGGGCTTGCAATTCCCACTGGGAACAGTCTTGCAAACACTTGCGCCACACGACTGTGTCCCGAATGGGTGCTTGCGATTGTGCATGGCGTAGCATGCTGATTTTGGGTCCTTGCAAAAAAGCCTTGCAACCACAGTTTTGGGTTGCTCGCTGATGGATCTGGCGAAAAGTCTTGTGTACGCTTTGTACTTGAGATGTGCTGGAGGCCTTGCGCATTTTGATGTTTGGTTTGGGTTGCTCAGTCGTTGCACAAAATCATTGCACACGTTTTGTGTCACAAGTGTCCCTGATCGTCCTGCCAACCATGCGTGGCATCGCTCAATTTGCTGATCGGTGGGCCGTGCAAAACGTCTTGCAAACATATGCGTCACACGACACAAGACTGTGTCCTGAACGTTGCTGGAAAACAGGCTCCCCAAGCCTCCTACTTCGCTCGTAGCTGGCCTTTTGTGGGTATGCAAGAAGCAAGGCGCTCCCGGCCGGCTGCAGGACGCATGGCGAGCTTGCATTCTCATTTCCGCTTCAAAGCATCGGCGTGGAATTATGCCTGCTTGCTTTCGAATGCCGCGCGCTTCTAGATCGCTCGTCATATGCCCTGTCTCCCTCGGCACTGGCCGCACTGCTTCCGCCTTCATGAGTGTGTCATGCTAGCATGCTTGTTGCTTGGCTGCACCAGCTAGTCTTCCGCCGCTTACCCTGTGACGGACGTGGGCAGCTGACCGCAGAGTATCTGCTGGTCGACACTCACGAACGACTGGATCAAGGATTACAGGAAATCCCAACCCTTGAAATTTCACAGAGAGGTGAAGCGAAGATGCAGTGGCTGCGCGAGGGTCCAAAGTTTAAGCAAGCTTCGGTGTTCTTTTTTGCCGGTGCTCTGGGCGGAGTTGGGGCGGGGGCAGCGGAGGAAGGGCTCAGGCTCCAGGGCCCGGGCGACCCGATTCGGCAAAAGAGCGTTGCTTGTCGGCTCCAAGAAGTTCTTCGACATCTCCCAACGCGCAAAGGCGCAAAGCAAGGCGCGTCAACGGAAAGCAGTTTCAGGCACAAACGGGGGAGCAAGGAAATGGGCGCACCGTCTCGATTGACTGGAAAGTACATCATCGAGCAAAGCTGTTACAGGAACGCGTTTCCACGTGGTCCTGGCTGGAAAACCGTATGTTGTGAGTGGACTTGTGTTGGTGCTGTCACAAGCGCTTGGAGCGACCCTTCACTGATTCAAGCCACAGGCGTAATAAAGTGTCCTGTATGCGGTGCCCTGCTGAAGGAGCTGTCAACATGCCGACGGGACCTTGTCGCGGCACAGCAGCGGCTGCAGGAACCTGAAGCTCAGAATAAGCGGCTTGTTGAAACAACACGTTATGATTATTGCTACTACTTCTACGACTGCTACTGCTACTGATGCTGCTACTGCTACCTGCTACTACTGCTACT